CTGTGGTCCTGGCTTACCTCTCTTGGGGTTGCAAGAATATCTTACTTAAATAGTCACTTTCTCTGCATTCTAAGTATCTTGCTGATTGAAACAGCTTACTGTGTGAGTCAGGTTTATCTAATTCTACTTATTTATTTCCACTAATAAAACACAACCTAATGAAATTCGCAAATATGCATGACCACATAATTACATGCCTTTTAAAATACAGAACCTGTTATAAGGTACATTTCATATTCATGTTACTTAAAAATTTTCCCTACAACATAGTAAGTTGCCCCCATTTTTCTTCACCATTAGTAAATTGGCATTTGGACTTCAGCTTCCTTACCTCGTTGTGGACTTTTTGTACATCTTTAGCCAGAATATCATTTCTGTTTCTATTTCAGACTCTATCTCATCCTTACACCTATAGAAACGATACTCTTCATGTCCTTGCCAATAATTGGAATGTGGTAGTTGCATTTCCTATTCTGAGGATCCTCAATACTACTTGTTTTCATTCTGACCCAAGAAAAGAAATAGTTTAGAAAAGGAAATACTAAAAGGTCATTTTTTCATTCAACTAGTATATCTTAGGCATTTAGCATTAGCAGTTACCACTCTGGCTGCTTGGTATATAATATAAAGACATGGTCTCTAGTCTAAAGGAGCTTACTTTCTACTAGGGAGACAGGCAATCAATAGAAATCGACATGACATCTGCCACAATATACAAATACTGGCATCCTTATCATAAGATGCATCAAACCTAAATCCTCAAATAACCAAAGCTGTGCTCAGCCACAGAAAATACCCTTCCAGAGTCACACGTGATCCCTGAAATGTGAACATAAATAGTGTTTATGTAAACTGCAATATACACGTGCACTTATTTTCAGCCATTTTTAAGGAGGACACTGATTTGGGGGCATTTTATCTGTAGAATTTAACCTGTTGCTTTACAAATGCATCAGAGGTAAATTCAACCCATTAGAAATTTAAATCAAGCTATTCAAAAAGACAAAAATGGGCAACTTTGGAAGAACACAACTTGTGACATGTCTCATTTAAGCCTAGAAACTTACCAAATTAAAGAAGCTACCTTTGAAGTCAAGATACAGTAGAAATGGTGTAAGGTGAGATATGTGAAGGTCCAATCGGGTAAGTCTAGAAGGTTTCACAGAGGAAGGAACCTTGAACTAAGGTATGAAAAACTAGTACGGATCTGTTAAGGCAGACTGAGGGTGGGCGTGGCATTCAGCTCAGGAGTTGCAGGCACACTGGCAAGGAGGTAGGAACCAGCATGCTGCACTGGAGGAAGCACAGAGAAAGACACAATGCTGAGAGTGCAGGGTTTGTGACAGCAGGGTGTGGTACAGTGAGAAAACTGGTCCAGGGAAATTAGGAAAGCCCTAATATGTCAGGTTAGGGATTTTATTCTACAGTTGATGGGAACTTCCAAAGACGTTTGGGAAGATGAGACGTAACTAAATTTATGCTTTGAAAAGTCACTCTAAGATTAATGTTAAAAATGAGTTGGAGAGTTAAGATGATAAATTTTAAGTTATGTGTATTTTACCACAATTAAGAATAAAAATAAAGTCAATTAGTTGATTGGAGGAGTAAAGCTGCAGGAAGAGTCTAGGGAAGAAGGCCTAGGGTCTGGCCTAGGGGAGAAGCAGGTGGACTGTAAGATGGGGATGGATTCAAGAGACAAGATAGAAACACAATGGACAAGAAAGAGCAACTACTGGATGTGGGAAGGGAATTAAATCTGAGCAATTTAGTAGATGGTAGAGAAAAATACAGGAGGAAGTTCAGTCTGAAACACAGCAAGCTAGAGGGATGTGGACAGTCAAGTAGAGATGTCTGCTGTGTGGTGGGGCCTGGAGCTTAGGAGGAAGTCTGGGCTGTAGGTGATATTGTTTGGGGAGTCATCCAAGAATAGGTAGAAAGTGAATCTATGAAGGAAAAAAAAGAAGAGAAGCCAAGAAGTATCAAGTCAAACACAAGTTGGTGAAAAGTTTGGCTTACTTGCTATGTTGCTTTTGCTCATAAATTGATCTGATAAATAAAATGAAGAGTAATATATAGTTGCATACAAAGCTACTAACCATTATTATGCAAAAACCAAATATTTAAATATTTTATTTATTTATTTTTTGAGACGGGTCTCGCTCTGTCACCCAGACTGGAGTGCAATGGTGGGATCATAGCTCACTGCAGCTATGATAGCTCATAGCTATCCTCCTACCTCAGCCTCCCGAGGAGCTGAGACTACAGGCAGGTGCCACCATGTCCCACCAACTCCACCACATCTAGCTAATCTTTTACTTTTTGTTAAAACGGGATCTCACTATGTTGCTTGTGCTGGTCTCAAACTCTTGTTCTTAAGTAATCCCCTCCCAAAGTGCAGGGATTACATTGTGCCCAGCTATTTAAACATTTCTTTTTCTTTTTTTTTTGGAGATGTAGTCTTAGTCTATCGCCTAGGCTGGAGGGCGGTGATGTGATCTCAGCTCACTGCAACCTCCATCTCCCAGGTTCAAACAATTCTCCTGTCTCAGCCTCCTGAGTAGCTGGCACTACAGGTGCATAGCACCACAATTGGCTAATTTTTGTATTTTTAGTAGAGACAGGGTTTCACAGTATTGGCCAGGCTGGTCTTGAACTCCTGACCTCAGGTGATCCACCCACCTCAGCCTCCCAAAGTGCTGGGATAACAAGCATGAGCAACTGCGCCTGGCCTATTAAAACATTTTAAACATAAAAATGAGAAAAAGTCTGGAATGGGAATTTAAGGAAGTATGGTAGGTTTAACTGGTAGTACAAATATTGTAAAGTCCTTATCATACAACTTGGCACACAATAGATGAAAAATTAAATGTACTGGAGCACCTTAAGTACTAATTTATAATTTCTTGAGGTACATAAAATAGAAGATGTGGAACACAAGGCATATTGTTACCTTTAATTGCCATTTTTATAAAACTACTCAAGTGCAGCAGACATTTGTGTACAACATAAATAATTACTAAAAGCAGAGCCAGCTTCAATATGTAATTTTATGTTAAGACTTTGAATGTCTTCTCTTGTATGAATGATTCCCTAAACTTTCTTTCTGCCACAATCACCATTTGCTGTGATCACTGGTGCCACAAAGAGACTATTTCACCTAAAAGTATTTGCCTTGTTTGGGAAGTTGATAGTCAAGATAACAAAGAAGTGTCTCCTCCAACTGGATCGGAAGGAGACTGAACTCACCTCAGGCTCCACTGGGGTGCCTTTTGCTAAGGTGTTGCTAGAGCCAGTATAGGAGCACTTGCCTATCCTGAGACAGATGACACCTCAGGGTCAGTTCAGAAAAGATATTTCCTACTCCCTAGCAACCTGGCAGAATAAAGTACACTTCAGGAACTCTAGCTGACATTTAGTTTTATGAGAATCTTGCTAGTCAGCATTAGTTTTTTTTTTTTTTTTTTAAAGTCAATTCTCAAACTATCCAGGCATTAATTGCTTTCTTAAGAGTTCTAAATCCTGCTTCATTCATTGACTCATTTAGAGAAATATTTCTTAATTACTGAGTTGTCACTGAACACCACCTGAGCACGTTTAGTGCTGAGGTAAACACAATTTCCTTCTAATATTAATATGAAATTCTTATCTTTTTACCTTTTCCTATGAATAAAACTCCAGGTTAGATTTTTCTTTCCATTGAAATACACTTCATGTCAAGTTGGGTGAGTTAAAAGAAAAACAAAAAATTTCACAAGCTTTCAATGAGTTTGTCATTACCTCCCAAGTAGCTGGGACCACAGGTGCACCACCATGCCTGGCTAATTTTTATTATTCATAGAGACAGGTCTCCCTATGTTGCCCAGGCTGGTCTTGAGTTCCTAAACTCAAGTAATCCTCTCACCTCAGCCTCCCAAAGTGCTGTGTTTCCAGGTGTGAGCCACTGTGCCAGGCCTTGTGATAAGTTTTCGAAGCTATAAAACATCTACATGGATAAATACTAGCATAAGGAGATATCTTAATGAATTACCAATGAACTGTAATTGAGATAAACCAATGAAAGGGTTTAATCCATAGCTTGCCTACTTTCTTATCAAGCCTTATATCTACCATTTAGGAGAAGCCAGGGACAGGGATTCAGTCAACTGAGAGAGTGAAATTAAGTCAAATGAGGGAGAAAGCAACAGAAAGACATGGAATAATTAAATAGGAACAGAAAAATTAGTGTGAAATTAATCCATGTATCCAAAGAACAAGGCACATACACTTACTGCATTTGAGCTCTTCAAACATTCTAACATCAGGCATCTAAATCAAAATATGAGCCAGGAACAGCAGTTCATGCCTGTAATCCCAGCACTTTGGGAGGTCAAGGTGGGCAGATCACTTGAGGCCAGGAGTTCGAGACCAACCTGGGCAACATGGTGAAACCCTGTCTCTACCAAAAATACAAAAATTAGCAGGGCATGGTGGTGCATACCTGTAATCCCAGCTACTCAGGAGGTTGAGGGAGGAGGATCCCTTGACCCTGGGAGACGGAGGTTGCAGTGAGCTGAGATTGCACCACTGCACTCCAGCTTGGGTGACAGAGTAAGACCCTATCTCAGAAAAAAACAAAAAACAAAAATATGTAGATACAATTAATAGACAATAAAATTTATACATGGCAAATTATACAATGTACATATACAATTTTTAAAAAGCAAACAAGAAAGAACTTAAAAAATGATACTCACTGGAAAAAGATTCTTTTGTAGCAAGTGTTATGATAGTACTGGGGTCTTTTGAAAGAGCAAAATTCAAAGGTAATCAGCTCTGAAGCACAGGATTTCATAGAAGTGGGCTCAAAAATAAAAAAATGTGAGCTTTTGGTCTAATCTAGCACTTCTCAAACTTTTAAATTTTGGATCCCTTTGAACTCTTAAAAACTACCAAAGACCAGCTTTTGTTTTTGTAGGGTTTTATCTAGAAATATTTATCATGTAGAAATGAAAACTGAGAAATTTCTTAAAATTTTTATTAATCATTTACAAGTAACAAAACCCAAATATGTGTTAATACATAAACAACATTTTTGAAAAACAGCTACTTTATTTCACATATTAAAACCCACTTAAAATAACCATTTTTCTAACCAACAACAACAAAAATTCACTAGTGAGACGAGTACTACTGCTTTACATTTTTCCAAATCTCTTTAATGTCTGATGACAGATGAAAGTTGGAATCTCATATCTGTTTTTGCATTTAACCTGGTAAAATATCATACCTCTGCACACTCATGAGAAAATGAGAGTGAAAAAGATAAATGATGGCCATGTGTGGTGGCTCACACCTGTAATCCCACCACTTTGGGAGGATGAGGTGGGCAGATCACTTTGAGCTCAGGAGTTTCAGATCAGCTTGGCCAAGATGGTGAAACCCAGTTTCTGCTAAAAATTCAAAAATTAGCCAGGTGTGTTGGTGGGCACCTGTAACCCCAGCTACTTGGGAAGCTGAGGTAGGAGAACTGCTTGAACCCAGGAGGCGGAGGCTGTAGTGAGCTGAGATTGTCCCACTGTACTCCAGCCTGCGCAACAGAGCAAGACTCCTCAAATAAAAAAAAAAGAAAACAATAAATGATGAAATGATGTCTTAGTATTATAAAAATAGCTTTGACCTAAAATACCATTGAAAGGCTCTTGAGGCCCCCTAGACCACACTTTGAGAACAACTGCTCTAGATGAATCTCCTCATTTTACATATAAGGACCCTGGACCTCAGAGAGAATAAGTGAGAAATCCAACATCACACAGTTTGTTAATAGTAGGATACAGATATTAGATGGTTTGTCTCACTTCTCTTGGTTTAGGTTCTCGATTAGAAACCTAGTGGCCTGACCTATTCCCTGTAAGTTGCAAAGACTGTCACAATATAGTACCCTCTCCCACCATTTCTTTAATAAAGAGGTAGAGCAACAAACTTGGTAAATTTTGCAACAGGCATACTGTGTTTGAATCTAAACTACAATATTTGAATTCAAGTCTCTATTTGAACAGAAACACTGAGGCAAATTCAACTGCCTCCTACTCCATGCAAGCTAGTAATGACAAGTTGCATGGTAAATATCATAGATAAATATGGAAAGCAGATTACCCATAATATATCAGTATTTATCATATATTCTGTGTCTGGAATACAATTCAATGATATATTTCAGAAAAATTTTGTCAAGTACTGGCTGAAAGGGCGGTGGGTACATTAAGAGACTGCAAATAAACTGGCAATCACAAGAACTTTTTCAGATAAAATGGAGTTGTTCTGAAATGTGGATAGTTTTCATTCCCTAACCAGACCTTATTTTTGTCTTTTGAAAGAAAATCAAGAAATCTTCTCGGCCCCCTAGAGATGATTTCCTTTGTATCCTACCAGATGGTTCAGATCTTCTTTAAATGGATCATAGCCTTGTTGTTTTAAACAACGTAGTCCCCAGAAAAGCTGGTCTAGAGGAGGAAATTCTTCCCAAGGAACCCACTCCCAACCTAGAAAAGAAAGACACCAAATCAATTTATTTAGCTAACAGAAAACAAAGTGTATTTATTTTGGTAAGCTAACCTATATTTAGAAAAAAAAAATAATTGAATTTAATAATAACTTGCTACAAATAAACTCTAATAGTGATGCTTTGCATTTGCTTGGCTATATAGATCTAATTTGCATGTAGAATGAAGACCTTATGAAAAGAATGATGGTCATTTAAAACATTGTGTTATTTGAATGCGAGGCCCAGTTTACAAAGGCTATGACATGGTAAACCCAGATTTAGTATTAGTCAATGTTTATTTAAATATTTGTGTAAAAAAATGCAAAGAATTTATATACTGTAGGTTATACTACATTAAAATAATCCAGTTCCTTCACCTATAAAATAAAGTAGATTACAAAGTTTCTAAGATATCTTCCATCTCTTAAAAATGAAATGAAAGCCGTGCAGAGGAAGACTGCTTCCCGTGAAGGATAATGAATATAAAAAAACTTAAAACTATTTCATCATATTTGTTTCTTCTAGTCTCAGCATTTTTTGCCCTTAGGAAAAAGAAAAATAAGAAAATGTTTAGTCCATTTTTTCTTTTCTTTTTTTTTTTTTTTTGAGACAGGGTCTCACTCTGTCGCTCAGGCTGGAGAGCGGTGGTGCAATCATAGCTCGCTGCAGCCTTGATCTCCCAGGCTCACGTGATCCTCCCACCTCAGCCTCCCGAGTAGCTGGGACTACAGGCTTGTGCCACCACTCTGGCTAACTTTCTTAGTTTTGTAGAGACAGGGTATCACTACGTTGCCCAGTATATGTGTGTGTATCCTTTTGTCAGAGGCCTTCCTGACCATGCTATCTGATACAGCACTTGGGTATCCCTTTCTGACACAGCTTTTTTGCTCTTTTTAGTTCTTACTACTACTATCATAAAATATCTGTAATTTGTTGCTTCCCCCACGCACTAAAATTTAAAGCCCACGAGGGCAGAGACTTTGTTCTATGCACCATTGTTTCTTTAGTGCCTAGAACAGGGTCTGGCACACTGTACTCAATAAGTATCTGTTGAATGAAAAGATTCTTCCCTCTTGTAGAAGAAATTAAATGTTTAGAGGGGAGGTTCGATACATGAGATCACTTGAATAAAGTTCCATATGGCAAGGAATATATTCAAAGAATTTGGATATTTTTCTTAGTTCCTTTTCTCACAGTTTTATGAGAATTTGAGGAGAGACAATAGACAGAAAAACCCTTAGAACAATGCTTTAGGAAACTTTCAGTGCACTCAAAGTGGCATAGAGGGTAACAGATAATGAAACCACCTTTGCAAAATTATAACAGTGAGAGAAATCTAACAAAGCCGACTCCACCTTGCTTCTAACCTCACAAGCTGTCTGCTCATTCCCACACACAGGCCAAGTTAACTATGGGAGGAATTTAGTTTATAGTTTAAAGCACAGGTGATAATAGTCCCTTCCCAAAACTAACCCCCTCCTTGTTCAGGGACCAAAACTGCTTTTGTAAAACTAATAGAAGGCCACAAGGTCAGAATTATGGTAAGGGCCAGAACTCTGTTAAGATGTAGGCATAGTTCATCAAAAACGATGAGTTTGTGTCCTTTGTAGGGACATGGATGAACCTGGAAACCATCATTCTCAGCAAACTGACACAAGAGCAGAAAATCAAACACCACATGTTCTCACTCATAGGCAGGTGTTGAACAATGAGAACACATGGACACAGGGAGGGGAACATCACACACTGAGGTCTGTTGGGGGGAAATAGGGGAGGGATGGTGGGGGGGTGGGGAGTTGGGGAAAGATAGCATGGGGAGAAATGCCAGATATAGGTGAAGGGGAGGAAGGCAGCAAATCACACTGCTGTGTGTGTACCTATGCAACAATCTTGCATCTTCTTCACATGTACCCCAAAACCTAAAATGCAACAACAAAAAAAGAAAAAAAAAAGATGTAGGCATAAACTCTAACCATGATTTTGTAACTTGCCTTTTTGTAATTGCTTACTGCTCAGGAGGCATGTAGCCAGTGGTCAAAAGATTAACTTTCCCAATTACCCCTAGAGATGACATTCCAATTGTAAAACCTAGGACTAGTGTTTGAGGTATTTTTCAGACTTTACATTCTGATGGACTAAGTGGTACCACCCAAATAGGTAAGCCACACAAAGAACCTGACTCAACTAGTCCCACGAACCTCCCATTGAGGAACTGATTCAGCACAAGAAGACAGTTTTGACATCTCTATGGTTTTATTCCCCAACCCAACAAATCAGCATTTCTCATTCCCTAGCCGCTTGCTTGCCAAACAATCCTTGAACAAGCCTCTGAATTCTCCATGGGTAGGATTTAAGAATTATCTCCTGTCCACCTCATGCAGCCGCCCTGTGATTACTAAACTCTTTCTCTGCTACAACTCCTACTGTCTCAGGGTACTGGCTCTTTCTGAGCAGCAGGCAAGAAGAACCCAACTGCTCTGAAACAGTAACTGTTTAATCAGTGTAATTATTCAGAGTAAAAGGAGGTATTAACTCTCCTGCACAGGTAAGAAAACTGAGGAAAACAGATAAAATATTTTCCTTAAAGTTACTGCCTGAAACAAAATTAAACACAATAAAACATTTACCAAGTACTTAGTGGGTTCATGAGGTTCTTCATATGTAAGTCCTTACAACAACCCATCCAAGGTACTATTATCACAGATGAGAAAAGAGGCCCAGGCAGGAAATAACCTGCCCAAAGTCACAAACCTCCAAGTAGAAGAACCAGGACACAAACACAGGCAGTCTGGTTCTCATGGTGCAAATATATTTACATATCTGTATCTCTATATTACATCTCTATATTTAAGACTGACATGGCTTATGAGTGACAGAAATTTATTTCTCAACAGTTCTAGAGACTGGGAAGTCCAAGATCAAGACACTGGCAGATTCCATGTCTGGGGAGGGCTCACTTCCAGGTTTATAAGACAACCATCTTCTCTCTGTATCCTTACATCATGGAAGGGGTCAGGGATCTCTCTGGGATCTCTTTTATAAGGGCTCGAATCCCATTCATTATTTTATGATCTAATCACCTCCCAGGGGCCCCACCTCCTAAAACTATCATCATGGTAGTTAGGATTTCTACACAGGAATTTTGGGGGAACACAAGTATTCACAGACACACAAGTATTGAAGACAATAGCATTCTCTTCATACAGAAACATACTGTAATACTCCCCCAGACCATAAGCTCTCCTCAAAGAAAAATCCATGATAATATATTTCTCTTACTTTCATTTTTTTCAGGCTCTACATTCTTTGGTTCTGAATCATGAGTCACATCCACTTCTCCTTTCATTAATATAGTAACATAATGGTAATTCTCCTTCTCAATGAAAGAATTCACAACTGAGGCAAAGCGAACATTTTTCAGGTGAAGAGCTGCTTCTTCCCAGGTTTCCCTTTGAGCACATTCTTCCCAGCTCTCACTGGAAAACAGAAACAAAACATTAGTTTATTCTACACACACACACACACACACACACACACACACACACACACACGCACACACACACGTACATATATACGTGTGTGTATATATATGTATATATATATATAGAGAGAGTGTGTGTGTGTGTGTGTGTGTGTGTGTGTGTGTGTATCTTGCCATGAAATTTTGCCATGAAATTCTTGGCTAGAAATTTCTAGTGTACAGCAAAAAGAACTGTAATTGGTTCCTGCTTTAAAACAATAAATCAGCAGGGCACGTGGCTCATATCTGTAATCTGTTGGGAGGCTGAGGCAAGAAGATAGCTTGAGCTTGGGAGTTTGAGACCAGCCTCCTAGGCCAACATAGTGAGATCTCATCTCTCCAAAAAAAAAAAGCTAGACGTGGCAGTGCATGCCTGTGGTTTATGGTTCCAGCTACTCAAGAGGCTGAGGCAAGAGGATAGTCTGAGCCTGAGAAGTCAAGGTTGCAGTGAGCCATGATCACGGCATTGCACTTCAGCCTGGATAACACAGCAAGACTTTGTCTCAAAAAAAAAAATAATAATTATAAAAATTTAAAAACAATAAATCAGCAATCCTGTCCTTGACATTATCTCCTGTATCTAGTTATCTGAAGATGAAAAGGACTTAATATTAAATAAAAATTAACATTTAGACATCTCAGCACTAATTTACAGTCCTAGAACCTGTGTGTAACCAGGAGGCAGTTTAGTGTATGGAGAGCACAGACTTTGGAGTCAACTAGACCTGGGATTGAGCTCAAAGTTCATTACTTTCTACCTTGGACAAATAAAAGGAGAGTACTATTACTTCCTTATTGAGTCATCATAATTGTATCAAGAAGTACACTATGTCTTTTCCAGCAGTCTCAGAATTTGTTTAAGCCTCAAAACTGAAGACAATAAGTAAAAAGCACCTCTAAATTCTCAAGCAAAAGGGCAAACAGGTATTATCTGAGCTCAAGGGTTTGCTAACGAAGGCCAAACTAGACCTGCAACTTCTTCCTACCCAGGCGGTATAAGAAAGAAGATCTTTGCAAGGGAGGAAGGTTATGAATTTTCAGCCTAGTAATTTTCAGCATGTCCCTTCCAGACTACGAGGGGCCAACTCTGTCCCCAAGTTAAGTGAGGAGCATTCCAAAAGAATCAGTCATAAGATTGGGAGTGACTCTCAAGGAGATACTCAGTGTGTCACTCTCCTGCTAAAGACATCCTGAGCTGCAGAAACCTACCCCAGTGCATCAGAGAAGGTGTGCTACAAGGGTGAGAGCTCTTAGGCACATCTGAAATGTGTCCCTTGGAGTTTCTAGATGCAGGTGAATACAGAGGCTGAGCAAGGAAAATGGGCAGCAGTGAAAACATCATTCCCATTGTGCGTTTCCTTTGGGCCAAGCAGATGCCACAAGAAACTGCTGGGTAATTGAATAGCAGATCCCAGGAGAAAGAAAATGTGGGGTGATGTGCTAGAAGCAAGAGCTAGGAGAGGGGCCAATGCCACAGAAAACCAGTCACCTATGTCAGGGAAATACTTTATTTTATTTTTAATTGTACTTTAGGTTCTGGGGTACATGTGCAGATCATGCAGGCTGTTGCATAGGTACATGCATGGCAAGGTGGTTTGCTGCCTCCATTCTCCCATCACCTGTATCTGGCATTTCTCCCCACCTTATCCCTCCCCACCCTCCCCTCCTCCTGCTGTCCCTCCCCTAGCCTGCCCCCCTCAACTGACCCCAGTGTGCGATGCTCCCCTCCCTGTGTCCACGTGTTCTCATTGTTCAACACCCACCTATGAGTGAGAACATGTGGTGTTTGATTTTCTGTTCTTGTGACAGTTTGCTGAGAATGATGGTTTCCAGATTCATCCAAGTCCCTACAAAGGACATGAACTCATCATTTTTTTATGGCTGCGTAGTATTCGGTGTATATGTGCCACATTTTCTTTGTCCAGTCTATCATCGATGTGCATTTGGGTTGGTTCCAGGTCTTTGCTATTGTAAACAGTGCCGTGATGAACATGTGCATGTGTCTTTATAATAGAACAATTTATAATCTTTTGAGTATATACCCAGTAATGGGATTGCTGGGTCAAATGGAATTTCTATTTCTAGGTCCTTGAGGAATCGCCACACTGTCTTCTACAATGGTGAACTAATTTACACTCCCACCAGCAGTGTAAAAGTGTTCCTATTTCTCCACATCCTCTCCAGCATCTGTCTCCAGATTTTTTAATGATCGCCATTCTAACTGGCATGAGATGATATCTCAATGTAGTTTTGATTTGCCTTTCTCTAATGACCAGTGATGATGAGCATTTTTTCATGTTTGTTGGCCTCATATATGTCTTCTTTTGAGAAGTCTCTGTTCATATCCTTCGCCTACTTTTGAATGGGTTTGTTTGTTTTTTTCTTATAAATCTGTTTTAGTTCTTTGTACATTCTGGGTATTAGCCCTTTGTCCAATGGGTAGATTACAAAAATTTTTTCCCATTCTGTCAGGGAAATATTCGTGGGACTTCCCAACCACTGACAAACATACCAAGAAAGCACACACGTGGATACCATGCCCAGAGGGCACCAATGGATGGATCAGAGCAGCATCAGTCACCTGAATGGCTTGCTCTCTCTCCTCCTTCCCTAACATACTGGAGAAGGAAGGAAACTCAGAGACAGCCGGGTGAGAAGAGCAAGAGACACAGAAAAGCAAAATAATGATTTACATCTCCTTTATGCACTACAGGGGAGGGATCAGAAACTGGAAATGACACTGAAGGTTTAAATTGGATTGGACTTTTAAATGCTTGAAAGTGAATCATACTGACCGAAATGTGATTTATTTTTATAACCAAGTGACAGGAAAACTATAGAATTTGCAGGAAATGTCTCTGAAGAGAAGGGAAAGAAAAATCATGTTTGAAGCCAATGGTAGGAGAAAATAAAACCATTTCCTGTTTGTTCTCCCATCAAATGTAGCCCACTGAGTATACCAGTTATGTAAAGATCAAATGAAAGCATACATGCAAAGAGACGTTATCCAGTCCTTAACAAAAAGCTCATTTGAGCTCAATTTTGGCTATGATCATTGACATCTGAGTCAAGATTTCAAGACTTCCTTTTGTTACTGGTAAGGCAGCTATCTCTACCCATTGCACTGGTGACTTTACATTCTAACTAGTGCTTAATCTGTGATCTGAGTTAGGTTAATGCTCACCAGTATTCAACAAAGTACCATGTGTGGCTGCCTGGGCAATCTGGTTCTTAATCTAGAAATTTTATTTCTTAACTGATAGTTTTTCTTAATTAACTGGAAATGATACATTTATTGATATCTTCTTAAATTCCAAAGACCATTTTTTAAAAAAAATTTCATGTGATAAGAATTTCCTATTTTATAGAGAACAAAGTCTGATTAAAAGGCACTGAGATCAAGGCTATACTGTACTTCTAACTGGCACTTTATAAGACACAGATGGATTAGAAGAACATGGTCACAATGAAAAATTCATCAGGACAAATGACCCATATTATTTAACAAATAAATGGCATAAGAAAAAAGGACATGGGGAGGGGTTACTATTAGATTTGTTGCGGGAATTGGGAGATTGGCGAGACCAATGGGTGGAACAGAAAGATTTTATTAAGGTGTGCGCTGGCTCAGTGGATTTACATCCAATAGACTGAGTATTAAACAAAGACAAAGCTTGACTTTTATATATGAAACGCAGAAGTGAACAAAGACAGTTTATTAAAAATGACAGGTTTATAACTTAAGTGTACATATGACTTAGGCTGTGTGATCCAGATGACCACTATCTGGGTTGCAAGCACAGTTTATCTCGCTTCCTTCACTATGGCATCTGGATGGTTGCAGTTTCACCTCCTTAGACCTGTCTCATGACCTTTTGCTGTGCTGCTTAGATGAAAAACAGGAACTTTTAGTTATTAGCTATAGAGAACAAGAATACATGAATCTATAAACTTATAAAACTTGCAAAGCAGGGTACAGTTCCTTGGGGAGGGGGATTCAGGGAAGTTTTATTCATACTACAGGAAAGAAGGAAAATTTGTTTTTCTGCTCTTAATTTTTACTTTAAAATAATATTGACCAAATGCAATACATGCCCTTCCTTTGATCCCAATTAGTACAAAACAGTAAAAGGACATTTTAAGATCACTGAGGAAAATGCTATACATATGGGTATCAGAGGATACTTAAGGAATTATTTTGTTAGGTATGAAAATGATTGTGGGCTGGGCATGGTGGCTCACATCTGTACTTTGGGAGGCCAAGGCGGGCAGATTACAAGATCAAGATATCGAGACCATTCTGGCCAACACGGTGAAACCCCGTCTCTACTAAACATACAAAAATTAGCTGAGTGTGGTGGTGCATGCCTCTAGTCCCAGCTACTCAGGAGGCTGAGGCAGGAGAATCACTTGAACCCGGGAAGCAGAGGTTGCAGTGAGTCGAGATCGCGCCACTGCACTCCAGCCTGATGACAGAGAGAGACTCTGTCAAGAAACGAAAAAGAAAGTGAGAAAGAAAGAATATAATTGTGGTTATGTTTTTTAAAAAAGTCTATTAGCGGTACATACTGAACTACCTAGGGATGGTATAATAGGATGTCTGAGATTGCCTCTAAAATAGTTTAAAAAAAACAACAACAAACCAAGAAAGCCCCCAAAACACACACACACCAACTCAGGGTGTGTGTGTTTTGGGTGGAAGAGGGAAGGGCAGTCAAGATGAAACAAGAAAACGCTCTATGATGGGTACAAGAAGATTCACTATTCTCTCTACTTTTATGTACATTTGAAAACTGTTTATACTGAAGGAAAAACAAGCACTGGGTCTGATGCTTTAGATGCTGTTTATCTGTTCTTGATTTCAATCTTATTCTCACTTCAGAATCCACTTTTTAGCACCGTCCCAGGCTTTTTTTTCTTTTTTTTTTACTTGAAAAACATTTATTCATTATTATTTTTTTTACAAAAAAAGTTTTGTATACCCTTTTGTATATAAACATGCATATGTTAAATATATACAATTTGATGAGTCTGGACATATGCACACACCCATGATAGTACAATCAAGGTTATAAACTCTCCAGGCTCTCTTCACTCTTGTATAGAACTGAGTCTCCTTAGTTGTCCAACTCCTCTGAGTTATAATCAAATCGCAGAAGTGCCAAGGCAGAAAAATCTTCAAGGGGATTTGGTCCAACATTCCCATTTTAAAGATGAGGAAACTGAGGCCCAAAGTGTTTCGTTAGCCCATTTGCTTGGTTAGAATGCAACTAAAATTTTACATATAGTCCGATCGATCTCAGTAGATGCAGAAAAAAAATTGACAAAATCCAATATTCATTCATGATAAATACATATACATATGTGTTTATTTTTTAATTGCACTCTAGCCAGGCAAATGGGCTTGGTTACGCGGCCAGTAAGTACTAAATTGATCTGTGTTGCTCTAAATCACATGGAAAACAGCCGGGCACAGTGGCTCACACCTATAATCACAGCACCCTGGGAGGCCAAGGCGTGGATCACCTGAGGTCAGGAGTTCGAGACCTGCCTGGCCAACATGGTGAAACCCCATCTCTACTAAAAACACAAAAATTAGTCGGGCGTGGTGGCGAGCGCCTGTAATCCCAGCTACTCAGGAGGCTGAGACACGAAAATCGCTTGAACCCAAAAGGCGGAGGTTGCAGTAACTCGAGATAGCGCCACTGCACTCCAGCCTGGGCTACAGAGCGATACTAAGTCTCTCAAATCAGTCAGTCAGTCAATCAGTCAATCACATGGAAACCGTGCCATGTCTTGGCTGACAACTTTGGGCTGCTGGAGGTTTACACACACCTGCTTTCCTCGTTTTGTGTGTAAGCTGTGAGAAAACACACACCTCACAGACGAACTCCCAACCACCACCCAGCTGGGGCGCATCCGGAAAGACTAAGGTAACCGAGCAAAGACCCCGCCTGACCCGGCACAGCGCCCTCTCCCGGGCTGGTGCCTACGTGGCCCAGAGGTCGAGGGGCGGAACCGAGGGAAGGCGCGAGAAACCACGCAGCGTCAGCGCGGTCGTTCACACGCACGGCGCACGGAAGCTAACACGGCGCACGGAAGCTAACACGGCGCGAGCTCGTCCCTCCGCTCACGCCCCGCTTTCCCGGCATTCGCAGCTGCTCACCCGAACTCCAAGTGACCTCCGGGGAGTTGGAAGCTGCCGGCTCCAACCGACCCTTTTCTCTTCCCCAGAAGGACGCAACCCGGATGGTTGCAGCTGGTCACCACGACTCCTACCCCGACTCCTGGCCGCTGCCTCCGCGGGTTTGCGCTGGCTGCCATAGCGGGCTGGAGGACGCGCCCTGCGACGCAGGAAGTGACCTGGCAGCCGCCCCGCCCCGCGGCCGCAACCAACCTTTCCCTGCGCTGGCGCGGAAATCAAAGCTGGAGAGCTGCTCGGGTTGGCGGTGGTGCGTAAGGCCTCAAGGAGGGCTATCAGCTTTCCTAACGGCGGGTTTCCTTCCCAAGGGCAGCGTGCTTTAGAGTTTCGCTTTAAGTAAAGTTTCTTATTGTTGTGCTTTGAATATTCATCACCCATCAGCCTGCACACTCCTAGATTCCTCCAAACCATGCATTTACACCTACGAGCCGCCTGCTCTTGTAAACCTCGGAACCACTGCACATTTTTAATCCCCGAATGACCCCGCCCACCACAGTGAATGCATTTGCACATAGCGCAAATCAGTGTGGTTCCAGGAAAAGGTTAAGTCGTGTAGAAACATTCCATTATAAACAACTATGCTTAAAGTATATTCATAAGTCATGGGAGGAAATAAAGGCTAATTGATAAATTGTGCTGAGACGAGTTAATTACAAACCCTCAAAAACAGACTTTTTCAGATGTTTGCATACCTAATTCGCCATGCACAACACAGACCAGCTGAATCATAAATGGCTAGTCACTGGGAGGATTTACTCCCTCTGTCTCTACATATATATATATAGTATTATTTTTACTTCTACCAAAGTAATGTGCACATACTGGAAATTTTATTTTATTTTTTGAGATGGAGTCTCGCTCTGTCACCAGGCTGGAGTGCAGTGGTGTGATGTTGGCTCACTGTAACCCCCAGCTCCCGGGTTCAAGCGATTCTCCTGCCTCAGCCTTCTGAGTAGCTGGGATTACAGGCATGCACCATGACACCCTGCTAATTTTTGTATTTTTAGTAGAGATGGGGTTTCACCATGTTGGCCAAGATGGTCTCCATCTCTTGACCTTGTGATCTGCCCACTTGGCCTCCCAAAGTGCTGGGATTACAGGCATGAGCCACCGCACCTGGCCCTTTCTTTTATTTCAAGTTTTGGGGTATATGTGGTTTTTGGTTACATGGATTCATTCTTTAGCCAGGATTTCTGAGATTTTAGTGCACCCATCACCTGAGTAGCGTACACTATATGTAGTCTTTTATTCCTCACCTTCCCCCCCGCCCACCTTCCCCTCTGAATCCCCAAAGTCCATTGTATCATTCTTATGCCATTGCATCCTCATAGCTTAGCTCCCACTTGTGAGAACATAAAATATTTATTTTTCCATTCCTGAGTTACCTCACTTAGAATAATGGCCTCCAGCTGCATCCAAGTTGCTGCAAAAGACATTATTCCTTTTTATGGTTGAGTAGTATTTCATTGTGTATATATACCACGTTTTCTTTAACCATTCATTGGTTGATGGGCACTTAGGTTAGTTTCATGTCTGTGCAGTTGCAAACTGTGCTGCCATAAACATGCATGTGCATGTGTGTTTTTCATGTAATGACTTATTTTCCTTTGGGTAGATATTCAGTAGTGGGATTGCTGGATTGAATGGTAGTTCTACTTTTAGTTCCTTAAGGAACCTCTATACTGTTTTCCATAGTGGTTGTACTAATTTACATTCCCACTAACAGTGTAAAAGTGTTCCCTTTTCCTCACATCCACGCCAACATCTATTGTTTTTTAACTTTTTCCTAATGGCTGTTCTTACAGGAGTAAGGTGGTATATCACTGTGGTTTTAATTTGCATTTCCCTGATGGTAAGTGATGTTGAGCATTTTTTCATATGTTTGTTGGCTCTTTGTGTATTTTCTTTTGAGAAATGTCTACTCATGTCATTTGCCCACTTTTTGATGAGTTTGTTTTTTTCTTGCTGATTTGTTTGCATTCCTTGTAGATTCTGGATACTAGTCCTTTGTCAGATGTATAGTTTGCCAGTGTTTGACTCTTTTCATTGACAAAATATTGCTGAAGAAAATGAAATTTTTTTTTTGAGATGGAGTTTTTGCTGTTGTTGCCCAGGCTGGAGTTGAGTGGTGAAATCTCAGCTCACTGCAACCTCTGCCTCCCAGGTTCAAGCGATTCTCCTGCCTCAGCCTCCTGAGTAGCTGGGATTACAGATGCACACCACCATGCCCAGCTAAGTTTTTTGTATTTGTAGTAGAGACAGGGTTTCGCTATGTTGGGCACACTGGTCTTGAATTCCTGACCTCCGGTGGTCTAACTGCCTCAGTCTCCCAAAGTGCTGGGATTACAGGTGTGAGCCATCATGCCTGGCCAGAAAATGAAATTCTTAAGTAAAAGAAGAGAAATATAATCATGGATCAGAAGACTCAATATTCTTAAATTCTCTACAAATTAATTTATATGGATTCAATACAGTCCTGATCAGAATACCAGAAGGCTTTCCTTTCCAGTAGAAATTGATAGGTTGATTCTAAAATTGGTATGGAAACACAGAGAACTAGAATAATAGAAACAATTTTTAAAAAGAAAACATTTAGAAGAGTCACACCACTTGATTTCAAAACTTAGGATCAAGCCACAGTAATTAAGAGAGTATGGTATTGGTAAAAACATCGACACATAGATAAATGAACAGTATAGAGGGACTAGGAATAGATCCATATGTATGATTAATTTTTGAAAATTGTACAAAGGCAATTCAATAAAGAAAAGATAGTCTTTTTAACAAATGATGCTAGAACAATTTGACATATAAGTGCAAACAAAAAGCCTTGACTTGTAATTGGCACCATATATAAAAATTAGCTCAAAGTGGTTTGTAGACCCAAATAAACACCTAAAGTATACAATTTCTGCAAGAAAATATTGGTGAAAATCTTTGTGATCTCTGGCACCCCCCAACTTGGCCAAGGGAATGCCAGAGAAACCTTGGATACTGAATTTACAGCTATGATGGGATAGGAGATGGGACACACCTCATTATACCCCCTCCCTTGCTAATAGTCATTAGGTTTTCAGCTGAGCTCTGTGGCTCACACCTGTAATCTCAGCACTTTGGGAGGCCAAGTTGGGCAGATCACCTGAGGTCAGGAGTTTGAGACCAGCCTGTCCAACATGGGGAAGTTCCATCTCTACTAATTATACAAAAATTAGCTGGGCCTGGTGGCATGTGCCTGTAGTCCCAGCTACTCGGGAGACTGAGGCTCAAGAATCTCTTGAACCCGGTAGGTAGAGGCTGTGGTGAACCGAGGTTGCACACTGCACTATAGTCTGGGCAACAGAGTGAAAGTGTCTCAAAAAAAAAAAAAAAGTCATTAGGTTTTCTTCCCTAAAGGCTAAACAGAAACTAGCCCTTTCAAAAGACTGCTGTTTATCTTCCTAGGTGCAGAACAAAAACAAGATGAGACTAATGGTTCCTTTGCCCCTCCCCTAGACAACTGCTTCCTCTGTTCCCCTTTTCTTCAAATGTTCACCTTATCATATATAAAATGTAGATTTTTCTGGGCTCTTGCTAAAGTCTCACAAGTAGGTAATCATTTATCTCACTTCTGCCTCCTGTTTTTCAAGGAAAATGTGTAAATGTTAAACCTCCTGAGACCCGTTTGGAAAAAAATAGCCACAGATGCTTCTGTAACTTAACGTTTTTCTCAGGCATACCCACAATCAGGCTCAAACCTGGATGATTTCAGACTTATGCCTCGATCACTCATTTTGGTTGTCACTCTATCTCTGCTGTGGTTTGAATGTGTTCCCCAAAGTTCATGTGTTAAAAACTTAACCCACAATGCAACAGAGTTGAGAGGTAAGACCTTTATGGCAGAGCCCTCATGAGTGCATTAATGCTAATATCTTGAGAGGAGGTTAGCTATTGTGGGAGAGGGCTTCTGATAAGAAGATGAGTTGGCCCTTCCAACTTTTCCCTTCTCTCTCTCTCTGATGTACACCTGTGTGTATGTGTGTTCTCTTAACCCTTCACCCTTGCATCATGGGATGATACAGCAAGAAAGCCCTCATTAGATGCAGCCCCTCAACTTTGGTCTTTCCAGCCTCTATAGCTGTCAGAAATAAATTTCTGTTCTTTATAAATTACCAAACAGAAACCAGCTTTTATAGTGGCACAAAACAGACTAAGACAGTTTCTCTCTGCTCTGTGAGAAGATAGTGAGAATGCAGGCATCTGCAAGCCTGGAAGAAGGCCCTGAACAGAAAGCAAACTTACTGTTACCTTAATCTTCTTGGACGTCCCAGCCTTCAGAACTGTGAGAAATCAATGTTTCTTGTTTAAGCCACTCAGTCTATGGTATTTTGTATAGTAGCTGCAGTTCACTAAGACACTAGTTAAGAAAACAAAAAGGCAAGCTGTGGACTGGAATAAATTTTTGCAAAGCACATATCTTCTGAAGGACTTGGATCTAGAATATATAAAGAATCTTCAGCTCTCAATAATAATGCAAACAGCCTGATAAATAAATGGACAAAAGAACTGAACAGATATTTCACCAAGAAGAGATATGGTATTAGTCCGTTTTCACACAGCTGATAAAGACATACAGAAGACTGGATAATTTATAAAGAAAAATAGGCTTAATGGACTCACGGTTCCACCTCACAATCATGGTGGAAGATGTAAGTCACATCTTACATGGTGGCGGGCAAGAGAGAATGAGAGCTAAGTGAAAAGGGATACCCCCTTATAAAACCATCAGATCTCATTAGACTTATTCACTACCTTGAGAACAGTATGGGGCAACCACGCTTATGATTCAATTATCTGCCACTGGGTTCCTCCCACAACATGTGGGAATTATGGGAGCTACAATTCAAGATGAGATTTGGGTGGGGATGCAGCCAAGCTATATCAGATATGATAGCAAATAAGCACATGAAAAGATGCTAAACATCGTAAGTCATGAGGAAAATAAAAGTTTAAACCAAATTGAGGTACCTCTGCACATCTATTAGAATGAATAAGAAAAAATCCCCATGAAAACTGGCAATACCAATGCTGGTAAGGATACGGAGCTGTTAGAATTCTCATACATTGTTGGTGAGAACGCAAAATTGCACAACTGCTTTGGAGAACAATTTGCTATTTCATATAATGTTAAGCATACACTGATCATACAACCCAGTAACCTTACTCCAAGATGTTTACTCATGAGAAATGAAAACTTATGTTCATACCAAGCCCTGTATGTAACTCCTATAGTGGCTT